CATGCGTGGGAGGTGAAGTTCTTTTTCCAAATTTGGGTCCACGGCATTGTTGTTTTTGTTGAACCGTTCCAGAAAAGTTCTGCTGGTACGACTGTCTTTTTGTTTTTTGCCACTTCTAAGTAAAAGTTTTTTGTTGATTTTAGGGGGATGTTAAAAAGGGACCCGTTTTGGCCTAATATTTCAATAGTTGTTTTGTAGTACTGAGACATTTTGTTGTCCCAGTGTTTTGGAAAGTTGTTCTGTTTTAAAAAATTCCAGCATGGGTTTTGATTTGTAAATTTAATAAGTGAACTTGCTAACCAGTACTTTGAAAAGTAGTAATTATCGTGGGTGTTCTCCTCTCCGCATTCTTTCAGTTGAAAGAGTGTTTTGAGGCGGAGCGCAAGGCTTTGCTCCTTCGGTGATAGAATTCCGAGACCCCCGCTTTTAACGGGTAAGAAAAGCGTCTCTCTTTTGACCGGATTAAAATTGGTCTTTTGCCACAGATTTTCGAAAATGGCGCTGTGCAAACGTTCTATTACCCATTCGGGAACGGGCAACACGTTTGCCAGAAACCACACTTTTGACAATGCTAACGTATTTATCAACATAGTCTTTCCCCTAAGTGACAAAGTACGTAGTCCCAGAAACTTGAGTTTTTTCTCTATTTTGGTTAGAGTTACTAGCCAGTTGAAATTGGTAGTATTACTCAGCCTGGTGTAAAACGTAACACCTAGAATTTTGAAACCGGTGTTATTAGTCCACTCTATGTTGTCCAATTCCGGGTACATTTTGGGATCAAAGCCCCCAAGAGCAAGACCCTTGGTTTTTGAGGCATTGATCACTGAACCACTTGCTTTTTCAAAAAGTTTTACTGCTTCAAAAAAAAAACGGACTGATTTTACGTCCCTGGCAAAAAAGTTCGAATCGTCTGCGTACTGCTGTAGTTTAAGCGGTTTCGGTGTTCCTGGTAAAGGGAAACCCTCTATTCTGTTGTCCGCTCTGACCACCAAAGCAAGGGCTTCGGCGACAAAGACGTACAACAAAAGAGAGAGTGGGTCACCTTGTCTAACTCCCCTTTCGGTGGGAAAAGGGGCTGACAAGAAACCACAATTCAGAATAGATGCCGAAATTTCTGAATACAGGGTGTTAATAAAGGATACGAAATTTTCTCCGAGGTTGAATTTTCGGAGAATTTGCAGCAGAAACGCACGATCGACTTTGTTAAACGCCTTTTCTTGGTCTATTGATAAAATGAAACTAGGTAGATTTTTAAATTCAGCGTAATCTATTAGATCACGGACAAGGTGTAAATTTGAGAATATTGTTCTACCTGGAATTCCGCAAGTTTGATTTGGTTCTATAATTTTCCCCATTACTTTTGCAAGTCTTAGGGCCAGCGCTTTTGTGATTATTTTGTAATCAGCGCCGATTAAGGATATGGGCCTCCAATTTTTGCATTCAGTGAGATCTCCTTGCTTGGGAATTAGTGAAATTATTGATTTTTTCATAGAGTGGCTGGTATTTTTTTCTACGAAGAGTATTTCGTAAGCAAGCTCTTCAAAATCTTTTTCTAAAATGTGCCAAAAAGTTTTATAAAATTCAGCTGGAAGTCCGTCATAGCCCGGGGATTTTCCGTTTTCAAATTTAAAAAGGGCTTCTTTTAACTCCGCGCCGGTTAGGCGGGTGTTTAAAAATTTGTTTTCATCATCACTCAAATGTTTAGTGATGTGTGACAAGACATAGTTTTGGCTGTCTTTGCATAAATTTGTTTTGGTGTAGATGTTTTTGTAATAAGAAACGAGGGATTTTAAAATCTCGCCAGGTTCACTCGTCAATGTTCCGTCGTTCTTGCGAACTTCGGTAATTGACTTGTTCCTCTGTTGAGTTTTTTCCAAATTGTACAAAAATTTTGAAGGTTTTTCTCCTTCTTCAACTAGTTTTTGCTTCGTGCGAATAAACGCTCCTGGGAAATGGAGCAAGAAAAGAGCATCGCGTTTTTCTTTGATGCTATCTAAATTCGGGTTGGCGTTTTGTCGCTCCCGTTGGATTTCGTTTTCTATCCTTTTGATCTGTTTTTTGTTTTTCGCACTTTCCTGAATAGATATATGTTGTAATTCTACCCTAACAAAAAGTTTGCAGTCGTCCCACCATTTTAAAATTGAGTTGTAGGACCGTTTTCTAGTTTGCCAATCTTTAATTGAGAGTTCAATTTTTTGCCTAATCACTTCTATTTCCAAAAGAGAACAATTTAATTTCCAGTATCCTGGTCCTCTCCTGGTTTTTCTAAAATTGACGGTTGTTGTTACGAACTCGTGGTCGGAGAAGGGGTTGGTGAGAATTTTTGTGTATGTTGTTTTTTTTGCGATTTTTTCAGGGCAGTAGATTCGGTCGAGTCTACATTTTGCCTTCTGATTTCGCCATGTGAATTCTCTTTTGTTTGGGAATTTAGAACGAAAAACATCAACCAGGTTATACTTACCTTGGAATACCCCGAGTTCGTCCACGCCGTAGGTGTGATATTTTGCGTTGTTGGTGCCTTCTGTGTCGAGGGGCAGGCTTTCGACCATGTTGAAGTCTCCGGCCAGCAGGACGGGTAGTCCTGTGTCCTGCGAGAAATCAACAAGGTCGCCAAAAAAATGGCGCCTTTCCCTCGGCACATTAGGAGCATAAATATTCATCACCTGCATTTCGTGTTCGTCAAATTTTATTATGACATCTAATATTCTTCCGTTAGTATCCCTTTTTAGTTCGTTTAAAGAAATGTTGGACTTCGATAGAACCGCCACCCCGCAACTGTTATGACTTGGACCGGAGTTCCAAATGGACTCGCCAGTCCATTCGTCTCCCCACTGTTGAACAGTGGAAGGTCCAGAGTGTGTTTCCTGTAGGAGGACGAGATCAAAGGAGGATTTTTTTAGAAACCCAAAAAAATTGTCGCGTTTTTCTTGGTCGTTTAGACCGTTTATGTTGCACGTTAAAACATTAAGAGTCATGATGGAGAGAATCAGTTTTCCTAATTTGAAAACTCGTGTGTCTTAAACATAAATATGATATTTTTACGACCTGACATAAAAAAAACAAACATTTAAACCTTAAACCTGAAGCACGAGTTTTCGATTTAAATGACGTATTACGAACAGATGGACTCACTGGACCATAACATTTCACACAAAAGCGCGAACTACAACAATACAAATTACGACAGCTTAAGCGCTTATACAAAATCTTCACATGCATTTTTATAGAATAGAACTAAAAAGATCGAAAAAGAAAAAATTAAATAGAACGTAAAAAAACTCGAAAAAGTTTTATAGATTTGAGAACAAAAAAGAAAAGGTTTAGAGTTTAGAAACGAGGAAAGAAATTTGAAAGATAAATAAAAAGATAAAAATAAAAAAGAAATCTTACGACATTTTCTCTGCACAATTTAAAACCTCGTCAACGTCAAAATTGAAATTTAAATCTTGCTCATCTTCTATAACCGGGTCAGTATCCATTTTTTCTTTTTCCGACAGCTTCACGGTATTTATTTCTTCAGTATCTGTTTCGCTTTGCACTTCACTGCTGCTTTTTTTAATTTTAAAAGAATACTCTGATTTGTTCTTTGTTCTCTTCCTACTCGATATATTTGTTTCTTTGGGAGACTCTCTTGGTTTCTTCTCAGTATCATTTATAATTTCGTTACCATCCACGTTATTCTCCACAATTTCGATTTGAGTACTTGGCAACGGTTGTTCTTTGTTTAAAGCTGTGTTCGTTTCAGTTGAGCTTTTTACTGAAGCTTTGAAGTTTGACTGTTTGGTTAGAGTTTCAACTTTTGGCGATGTTTGAGGTTGCCCGTTGTGTTTGTATCGCAATGTGTAACCATCTATGTTTTGATACCTTGGTAAGGGATTAAGATGGGGATTCTGCCAGTTTCTTATAACAATGATGACATTTCCGGTATATATGGTTTCACCATGTATGTTAACCTTTTGACAACTGAACGAATCAAACTCACCTCTCCCTGCGGCTAGATATTTTCCTAGTGTGGTTAATGGTGTTGAACCTCCGTTGACTAGTAGGCCGATAGGAATGTTTTGCACTAATACGTGTACATTTCTAATAAATTTCTGGGTAATTGCTAGAGATACATCCTTTAAAACAATTTCTGTTTCAAGAAAAATATTTACTTTGCTTGGGTTATTAACGACAAACTCAAAGAGGCGGTTAGCGTAATGTCTAGTAACACCCCAGACGTAACACAAAAGGTTTTTTTTTGCCAGAACTTCTAAGAAATCTTCGACACTACAGTGTAGATCGCCATATCTACAAACTAAGACAGGATAAGTATCGTTCACTGATGTTGTTTTAAACACGCCAAGATTCACTTTACCAATATCTGAACTGGATCCAGGCGCCAACACGCTAGCGTAACTTTTTGCCATTACACAAAAAATTAATTAAAATAAAACCACAAGTACTCTTTCCAATAAAATCGCAAATTAAAAAACAAAAAAAAAACACCAAGATGAAGACTAAAAAGTTTCAGTATGTGTTTTTTTCCGATAATCATGCTTAATCTCCGATAATCATTAATTATTATTAATTATCATTAATTATCATTAATTTCCGATAATCATGCTTTTTTCGAAACAAGTTTCCGCATGGTTTTTAAATGGTGATCATTTTAATTATCGCTCCGTAATATTAGTCAAAAATTTTTTCTTTTTTTTATAACAAATCTATAAAAGACATCTTATAGACATCTAAGTTTAAATAAAAAAAAAATTATCTATGCAAGATCTTTTTTATGCATCTAATATGTATCTAAAACAGAGCAAAAATAGTATCTCTAGAATCAGACGTCTTTTCGATCTCTAATATACGTCTAAAATATACGTATCGGCAATAGATAGGAGTTGGACCAACTTTATACGGTCTAAAAGACGTCTATTGTTTGCTGGGGAAGAAGTTAAAATGATGACACTGTTAAAAACTTATGTTTAATAATTTATTATAGTTTAAATATGTTTTTTTTTTAAGAGCCATTTAGAATTTTGTGAATATCAAGAGGTAAAATGCTTCAATCAACAGTGTTCTACTTCACTTTTGCATAAAGAACTAATTGATCACATAGAAACAAAATGCACTTATCGTTTGGTTATATGCCAACATTGCAATCAAAAGATTCGTTTTTTTGAGAAACAAGTATAAACATTTATTCTTTATTTTATTTAAGCATTTATTCTTTTACTTCTTTTTAATTTTTTTTTTGTGTTCAAATTTATTTTTAATTAAAAAAAATTTGCTTTAATTTTCTTTGAAAATCTACTTAAAAGTATAAACTAAATGTATGTAAATATATGTATACATATATATATATATAAATATATATATATATATATATATATATATATATATATATATATATATATATATATATATACACATATATATATATATATACACATATATATATATATATATATATATATATATATATATATATATATATATGTGTATATATATATATATATATATATATATATATATATATATATATATATATATATATATATATATATTATATATATATATATATATATATATATATATATATATATATATATACAGTTTTTAGCTTCCTAGCGAATATGAATTTAACAAAAATTTCACTCTATATCAGTTGTTTTCTGCAGAGCATTTATTTCTTTGTTAAGTGTTGTTACACAAACATTAGATATTAAAACTTGGTTATTTATTAAAAAAATCTGAATACAAATACAAATTAAAACAAAAAAAATTAAATATTTCAGCATTGCAATATTTAATTTTTTTTTTTTCACACTAGCTTTAATATATGTTTTTTTTATAACCAAACTAAAGATGACGTTTTTCTACGATAAGGTAATGGTAAGTCGAACTCAATTACAATTCATAGTTGGTTGGAGATTAGTTTTGATAAGAACATGTTTACTAAAAAAGAGCGCTTTCATTCAGACTCTGCAATCAGGATTTATTTTAAAAGAAAAAACAAGCGTAAATAAAAAAAAATATTGACTGAAGGGCTTTAATCAATATTGCGATGAGCAAATTTATCAAAGAAATTATCTTCTATCTTCTTCTATATTGCTTCTATATTCATTTGTTATCTAACTAAAAAAAAGTTAAAAACAAATCAAACAAATTAACAAAAGAAAAAAGAAACGAGAAATGAAAAAGGAACGAAAAAAAGTAATTTGCAGTAATTGATTTAGTTACATCAGGGTTCATGGCAGTTTTGAAAAACCATTTTCCCTGAGTTTTTCCTGATTTTCCCTGATTTTCAAGTATTTTTTCCCTGAGTTCGTGCTGTGAAAAGTCTAAATATTTTGCCTATCAATGTTGAAAAATATAATACTTTTGCAACTGAATCCTTGTTCCCTAAATACTTTTAATCACTATTTTCAAAGAAATCAGAGACTGTTTTTAATTAATTTATAGCAATCCGTTAAAGGTGTTTTAAACAAGAAACAGAGCCATATTAATCTGCTAACTAAAAGAAATATATTAAAAAAATAACAATTTATACATGTTTTGAAAAAACTAATGTGTTTTGTTAACAAAATATAAACTTCATGTAAGAATGAATATATTATTTTTGCAACTTTCTTTTTTGCTCTAAGATGCGCTAGCTCTAATTTCTTTATTCTAGCTTAAGTGCTAGCTCTAATTTCTTATTCTTATTCTAGCTATAAGTGCTAGCTCTAATTTCTTTACTTCTTCATTTTTTTCATTTGCTTTTTGTTTCATCGCATTAGCTTTAGAAATTAACCCTAGATCTTGCTTCTCCTCTGCTTCCTCAACAAATTTTACAAATCAAACTGCAACATTTCACTGGTTTTCTTCAGTTGATCTCGCCTCGTTTCAACATCTTTTATTTCATCGCTAACAACTTTTTTTGCCAATTGACTTTTTTGTTAGTGTCTGCGATTGAATTTAGGTAGCTTCTATATCTTTCTTGTGCTGATTTTATGCTGATGATCATTTTGCTTGTAATTTCAATACTATGTGGCTGAAGATTATTTGATAGCATATGATCTTTGACTAAACGTCTTGCAGTTATTGATTTTTCAATTAAATTCTGTTCTAGTACTGTGGCATTTATACTAAAACCTCTCTCAACTGAGGCTTGTCCATGGCTTAGTGTTAATAATATTATAACAGTCAATGCAAACTCTTTATATTTATTTAGGTTAAATTTTTTAAAATAGAAGTCGTCTAAGCTATCTCTTTCTTGATTGAATTCATGAAAGATGTCTTGATAAACCCTTGATTCTCAAAAGAAATCTGCAAATTGATTTATAGCTTTATCAGAAAAGATTGGTGAAACATATTTCAAGCTAATCAAGTGGGTCAATAAAGATTTATACTTCTTCTCGGCATCTTCTTGAGTCATTACTACCATTGCATTTGGGTTAAGAACCTGAGAGTTGCGTACAATGATAGATCCTAGTGGAGTTCCGTCCATGAACTTTTCAATCAATCAAACATACATGTTAGTGCAATCTTTGTGAAAACTTTGAATATCAGCAATGGGTATTATATCTTTCTTTTGTAAAACAGCCAGTCTTGTTTCAGCTGCGAACCCTAGTTTGATTTGATTTCCTTTAAGTAGATTAGCTTTTTTATGAAAATCAACTTCTTTTAGTTGGACTGAAATACAACTATTATCAATAACATCTTGTTTCACAAACAAGCTCAGTATGGTTCGTTACAGTCTTTCTAAGTCACGATACATGAATGGAATCATTGGTTTGTCAGTTTGGTATGCCAATAAATATGGCTCTAATATGCTCGCAACAAAGCTGAAAACTTCAAATTTTAAAATAATAAGTTTGTTTTTAACAGCCTTTTTTACATTTAAAAAGCTTTTTGATTTAGGCTGTTTCGAAGATGGTAACTTTTCCCCAAGCTCAATCAACTTACATATATTAGGCCAGATTTCAATGCAACAATCTGCAACAGATTTACTTTCAACCTATCTTGTTCCACACAAAAAAAAGGGGGTATTTTGTTGCACCTGTGACTGTTTCATAATCTTGACGCCTAGCTAGGCTATCATGAAGAATTTGCCAACACCCTTTTAAAGTTTCTTTAATATTCCATGTTGTTGATTCGATAGCTGTTTTAAAAGCACCATGGATTACATGCAAAGAGCAACATCCAATATTTATAAATTGTGGCATTTCGTTGTCCTTTCTTTGTTTATTAAGATCATCTAGAAATTTCATATTTGTAGAGGGCCCATCCATGGAAACTTGATACATTTTACTTGAATCAAATCTTGATAAGTTTTCGTTGAAATGTGTAAAAAGGTCAGAAGCTGCAGAATGACCAAGAAATGCTGATGTCCAATATCTCACTTTAACTTTATTATTGCTATCCCAATACCGAACTAGTAGATCCATCTCTCAAGTTTGGGTTATGTCGTTTAAACTCTCATCAAAAGATACAATGTAACAATCAGACTTTGTGATTTCTTCTTTTAAAAGTGTCTTGAAGTATGGGGCTAGTCCATGGTTAACAATGTATGATACTTTTGAGGTGCTCATAGTGAAATCTTCTGCTACCTTGCTATCAGGAAACATCTTTTTAAAAGTTTGCACATGAGTTATTAGAGTAGCAGCTCATTGTAGATTTCAGGGCCCATATGATCTCAGCATTAGTTGATAACGATGATTTAATTAAAGAGACAATAGTTGCTTGTTTTTTGGTGAAAAATGTGGATATTTTTTCATCACTTCCAAGTGGTTCAGCATGCAACTCTTTTCCGTTAATAAAGAAACAACTAGCAGGCTTTGTAGCAGACTGATGCTTCTTACCTAAAACAAGATAAATAAATAATGAAACATTTAAAATGTCTAAAAACTTTTATCTTTTTTCTCAATCTGTTTAGCTGTTTAGTTTGAAATAACAATATAAGCAACCAACCAACAAGGAAAACAACTGAAACAGGTTGCAATCAAAAGTTGATTACAATGTGTTTGAAACTGATATTAAAATATAAAATAATGAATCAATCAAGCAACATTTCTTTTTAATTCTCACTCTCACATTAAAAAAGTTAATATAAATACCTGCTGCATGACTTTTAACAGCCTGAATACCCATATTGGACAATTCAAATGATTTTTTACATTTTTTGTAATGAGCTTTAGTTTTTGCATGTGCGTTGGGAACTAACCAATCTTTATAAATATCTTGTTGTAACCAATCCTCTTGAAAATAAGTCTTTTCTGAAGTCATGTCTTATATTATTATATTTATTTATACATTTAGCTAAACATATAGTTACTATATAATATAAAAGTTAAAAAACCACTTTAGTGAGCAATTTTCAACAACAATAAACACTCAAAATGCGTATTTTGCAAAATAACTTCAAGCTAAATAAAAAACTGAAAAATATTCCCTGAGTTTTCCCTGATTTTACAGATTTTTAACAAATATTCCCTAACTTTTCCAGGTATTCCCTGATTTTCTAAATTTTTAAAACTTTTCCCTGGTTTTCCAGGTTTTCCCTGAGTGCCATGAACCCTGTACATGGTAGGTTGTTACGTTTTGTCCGTAGAAAACTGTTTGTTGTTGTTTTAAAATTAATATTGGTTTATTATCATATAATTATCGTATTTTTGTTATAACCTTTAATTTATCATCCTAAGAATTATTATTATCATTATTTGTATTACTATTTTCATTATTTGAATTATAAATCCTATTTCATGGTATTTACTTAAATATTAGTTTTTAACTATTTGTTAATGACATCGATTGTAAGATCTTTTATCAAAAAATATATTGATCAATTGTTATCCATTTTACATGAAAAACAGCCTCTGAATTTTATTTTCATCAACAAATTTATCATTATGATAAAACTTATTTATCATTCTCATAGAAACAAAATATATGCTAAGTGTAGTAATAAATTATATAAAAAATAGGAATTATAGCCATTAAGTGTTATTAAATTGATCATTTTGTTATATTTGATAATCAAAAAAAAACTTCAATTTGAGAAATGCTAAAATATAGAGCAATAAAAAATACTAAAATTGATTCAAAAAAAAAATGCAAATAAATGATTAAAAAAAAATTTTTAAATACATTACATGACAATCATCGAAAGCAATTTTGATGATGTCATTTATACGATCAAAAATTTTTATTTTTAATTATTATCTATGGAATGTATTATTACAAACAATATTAATATAATAACGTTATTAACAAAAGAAAACATTTGAGACACAACATAATAAATAATAAAATAAATAATGACTTTTGTTATCAAGAACAAAAATAAACTATGTGCAAATTTCAACAAACTATAACAAGTGCAGCAAGACACACTTGAGAAAATTGTCATTTATAATTGCAACATTTTTACCTTTTTCTAAACTTAATGCTAAATATTCCTAACAGACTTGAGTTATAAGGATAAGTAAAAAAATTTGACTTTGTCAAAAATTACTATTACACAATATAGGTAGTCTCGTCAAAAAATACAAATACTGAACACTTCACAAATTTTGTTGCCTAACACGAATATTGCCACGTGTTGCTTTAAGGTATGCTTTAATTAAAATTCCTTATTTAGTCGAAGAAATTGCAGTTCATAAGATTAAAAATGTTTTTTATATTAGTTAGATTTATCTAACCTTATAAAAAACTTTCATTTTTTACGTAAAAGGTGAATGTTTTTGATAAGGTTAGATATATCTAACTTTATTACCAACCGTGTTTTTTATTAAATAAGCATCTTTTGCATATCTTTTGCATAAAAGTTATGCTGATAAGATATCAGCATAACATTTATACAAACCAAATTATAATAACCAAACATTTGTACATACCAAAGTTTAATAACATTTAGTTGTAACAATAAAATATATCCTGTAAACGTTTAGTTTTGTTTTTTTAGCATCAATATAGATAACAAAAAAAATATTTAAATAATGGCAATTATTGCAAAATGACATTCGGCCAAAACTCTGTATCCCGTCGTAGTGGTTTACGACTATTCGCCTGAGTTCTGGCATTTCGTCGCATGCCACTGTGACTTCTTGCGATGATTTACCTTACTTAAAAGGTTGCTTGAGTTGCTTGCCAGACTCGCACCAGTAAATGCCTGTTACTAATATAGTCGCAACGGCGGGCGATGTCTCGCCAGAGTTCTGGCCCGGAGTCGTGTGCTGTCTGGGTATAGATCAAAAGAGCTCGAACTTTTACAAACTGTCAAAGTTAAAAAAAAAAATTAAAAAATTTCAGTTTCTCTAATTTATACGTACAAGTAAACAAAAAAGTTTTGTTGGTACACAGTGGGCTATATGGTGGACAAAGGTAAAAAAAATACATTATCAAAACTTACATTATTATATACCATTTTATAGCTTAAACATTGAACTTGTCTAAAAGGCATACATTTTTGTGTAAATATACTGCCGTATGTTTAACATACTGCCGTATGTTTCTACGCTGTAGAATAAAAAGCTTTTTTTTAAAAAAAAAAAATTTCTAGTTTTTTCTTTTAAAAAAAATTTCTAGTTTTTTGTTTTAAATTTGATAGTTTTTTTTACGTTACTAACAAGAATGAAATAGATGTTAACTTTAAAACCTTTTTTTTTTTATTGTATTATTTATTAAAATTAGATATTATCTTTTAAATGAACTATTACATCACTATTTTCCACATAAACCTTGTCAAAAAAAAAAAAAAAAAATAGACTCAAATGACGGGGTATTTAAAATACTTTCTTTAGTAGAAACTTCACTTTTATAGTCAAATACTTTTGCGGTCCGAAGCGGTCCAGTTTTGAATAATTTGAAACTTGAAATACATTGTTCAATATCTATATTATCAATATAAATTTGTTTTATATTCCGCGGATGTCCGTCTGGTCTCTATTAATGATTTTTACAAGTTACCTAGTGATAAAAAATATTTAGCTGACGCAAGATGTGTTTAAAACGTTTAAACCACGTAATACTACGTAGTTTATACGTCTTTAACGCGTCTTTTACCTATATCTAGCGATTAGCTAGTTGTTAGCTGATATCTCACCGGGTAAATGATGCACCCAATTTTATGCGTCAAAACTATTACGTGTTTTTAATTCTATTTGATTATGTAACTTGTTTTATTATTTATACATCTTAAAATACCTATTTGTAAAAATTTGTAAATAAAAGTTATATTTTTATATAGTTAAAACATGAAAATTATTAATATTTATTCATATATAAAACAGGAAAACCTGAAGTTAGCTAATCGTAATATTTTATATTCGCAAAAACGTTAAAACTTAGGGTTACTTTTTAATATGGATTATGTTGTAGTTTTATGAAATATAAAATAAAGCCTTAAAACTGCACAAAAGTACTTAAAATTAGTAATTGGGAATGTGTTGAACTTTTTTAACTCAATTCTTTTATTATTCTGATTAAAAAATTTTAAATCAGACTATTACATTATTTGTAGTTTAAAAATTGATGCTTGATGAAAAGTTACTGTAGCTAGTAAATATGCAAAATGAAGCGTCAGGCATTTTAGGTATTACTATTAACTAAATAAGCAATCCATAGTACCACTACATTTGAAGTATCAAAATACTCAATGTGGTAGTTATGGTAGAAACCCAATAAAGTTGTTACTTTTTCTAGTTTACGTTTGTTAAGGTAATAAAATATGAGGTTGCTTAGCAGTTTAGATATCCATAGCAACCCAAAGTTAAAAATAATGTCACCATTTAAACTGCAATCTTCAAATTATTAAACATTACAAAAATGGTTCTTAAAACTTTCTTATATGACGAACTATTAGTTTTGTCCTGTAAAAGTGAATCTGGCTCACTGTGTGGTAGTAATAGCTCTTTCTCCTCTATTATTCGTTATACGAAGTAAAAGTAGTAACAATATTTTTAAATTTAAATAAAAAACAAAACAAATTTATTTTCTCAAGATTAATGATAGTCAATAGAAGTTATACTTTCTATTGACTATGTATAACTGCTATTGACTATGGTTTAATTATGTAAGTTCTGTATAAATTTTTGCTTTTGCAAATTTTTTGACGTAATTAATGGACAGCCCAATTAAGTTTTAGCGTGAAAGTAATAAAATAGAATAAATAATGTAAATAATAAAAATTAGATTCATTTTTAAAACTAAAACTTAAATTTGTATTCTATCTAAATCTATATTATAACTTGATCTCATTCATAACCAAGAATAGGTTGACATGTGGCCACAATAAGGTTATTATTTATGGGTAACAAAAACAACAACAATGACAACGCAAACACTATTAAATGAAGTAATAATCATTTAAAATCAATGTAAAATTTCTTTTTTTCGTTTTATTTTATTTGCCGTATAATATTATTTACATCAAGATTTATAATATTATACGGACAGGACTTTAAGAAGATCGTAATGATCTTATCACGAAGCCCTTAACAAAATTCTAGTTTCTTCTATAATGAAAACATCTATATGTTATATAAGATGAATATATACCGAGAATATATAATCACTAAATATATCATAAATTTGATACTACATACTTCAGAAGTGAAACTCAAAATAAAACATAACAAACCATTATGGTTTGTTTTGTTTTATTATGGCAACAAAAAATTTTTTTTTTTTTTTTAAATCAAAAAAAATCAAAAATATTTTTTGTTGAAAAATAGTTTTTTTAATAGATTGTTTGAAAAAGGAATAGGTCAATTTAGATGAAAAAATAAAATTAGGCCGTACTATTTCATTCCAGAAAAAAGGTCTACGATAAGATATACAAAATTGAGCTTGTTTATTATTGCAAAAAGGTTTTTCTAAAAAACTATTATTACGTAGGTTATGTTTGTTTTGGGGTTTAATCTTGTAAAGGTTTACAAATACATCGGGGGACATAAGTTCTTTACATTTGTACATAAAATACAAAACATTAAATACATTTAATTGATAAACATTTAAAACGTTCATTTCTTTAAAAAGCGGTTCAGAGTTCGAAAAACGATTTTTAAAATTTATTATGCGAGCTGCGTGTTTCTAATACCAATAAAGAGACTTAAATTTAGTTTTATGTGTACTTCCCCATATAATATTTGCATAATTGATATGACAGTGAATAAAAGAGTAATATAATTGTGTTAACTGCTTTTTGTTTAAAATACCTCTAAATTTGTATAAAATTCCAATGTTTTTTGCAACTTTATTAGAATGTGTGACTTCCAAGACAAAAACTACCAAAAATTTTGCCACTTTTTCTCTTTTTAGAATGACATTGCCTATAAAAAGATTAGGCATGTTTACAGGCAGTATCTGTTTTTTATAGTTTGGATGGAAAAGTATGCATTTTGTTTTTTCAATATTTAAAGATAGCCTATTTTTTTTGAACCAAATTGAAATTTTTTTAAGTTCTCTGTTTATATTATTAAAAAGTAGGTTTATATTTTTATGTGACTAAAAAAGGTTTGTGTCATCTGCAAAAATTATAGTTTTTAAATTGGATGCTTTGTTAAGATCA